ACTGACTGTTGAGGAACCTCGTTAAAATCTTGGTGTCTTTAATATTTTGTTCTTGCATTTCATTTGATAAATTTCCTGTGAATTAGCTTGAGTTGGTTCCAACGAGTTTGGTGCTGTCCTAGCACAACAATTGGTATCAGAGCACTGGTTGCTCTTGGGTACTGTCTAGTTGCCAAAGATGTCAGACGGGCAAGCTGAAAATCATTTTGGAAGCAGCTCCGGGTTTGCAAGAACTACGGTGCAAAATGCAAAGTTCGAAGTGGAAAAGTTTGATGGCACAAACAACTTCGGGATGTGGCAATGTGAGGTCAAAGATGTGTTGGCTCAACAAGATCTACTTGCCGCTTTGGGAGAGAAGCCAGAAGCTATGTCGAAGCCGGAATGGGAGAAATTAAATTTGTGGGCTTGCTCTTCAATTCGGTTGTGCCTTGCAAAAACTCAGAAGTATTTTGTGATGCGGGAGACATTAGTAAGTGTGTTGTGGCAAAAATTGGAAGACAAGTATATGACAAAGAGTGCAGAGAACCGGCTACACTTGAAGAAAAAGCTCTACCGCTTTCAATACAAAGAAGGTACAAAAATGATTAGACACCTTGATGCTTTTAATAAGTTGATTGCCGACTTGTTAAATTTAGATGAGGATATTAAGGATGAAGATAAGGCCTTAATATTGTTGAATTCCTTGCCGGACTCTTATGAGCATTTTGTTACCACTATTATGCATGTTAAAGAAACTGTGAAATTTGAAGATGTGTCAAATGCCTTGATGAATTATGAAATGAGGCATAGAGATAAAAATCATGATAGTACCTCTGAAGCTTTATTTGTTAGAGGTAGATCATCGGAGAGAAAATCATCTTCTAGTAGGAAAAAATCACAGTCTCGACCTAGAGGAAACTCTAAAGGTAGAAAACCTTTGGAAAGGGATGAATGTGCCTTTTGTCGTAATAAGGGCCATTGGAAGAAAGATTGTCCTAAATTGAAGACCAAAGGCAAAGAAAGTTCTGAAGCTAATGTTGCTGAGGTTGAAACAGATTTTTCTGATTTTGCTTTAACCACTTCCTCATCATTTGATTGTGTTACTAAGTGGGTGTTGGATACGGGTTGTACTCATCATATGACTCCTCACAAGGATTGGTTTTCAAGCTTGAAAGAGTTTGATGGTGGCGTTGTGTTCATGGGAGATGACAATCCTTGCACAACAAAAGGGATTGGTACAGTTCGTTTGAAATTGCATGATGGCATGGTTAAAGAGTTGACAGGTGTTCGGTATGTACCGAATTTGAAGAAAAATCTTATTTCTTTGGGTACTTTGGAATCCAAGGGCTTCAGGTTTCATTCAGATGGACATACATTGAAAGTTACTTATGGTGCACTTGTTGTGATGAAAGCTCCTCAAAGTGGCCATTTGTACTTATTGCAAGGAAGCACTGTGACAGGTGAATCATTTGTAGTCTCAGAAAATATGGGCACATCCGATTCTGATACTACTAGACTGTGGCATATGAGATTAGGCCATGCCGGTGAGAAAGCTCTACAAGGGCTTGTGAAACAAGGTCTTCTAAAAGGTGCCACGACTTGTAAACTTGATTTCTGCGAACATTGTGTCTTGGGAAAGCAAACTAGAGTGAAGTTTGGTACTGCAGTACATCAGACGAAGGGCATTCTTGATTATGTGCATTCAGATGTTTGGGGTCCTACAAAGACTCCCTCTTTGAGTGGTAGACATTGGTTCGTGACCTTTGTTGATGATTATTCAAGAAGGTCTTGGGTCTACACTATGAAGCACAAAAGTGAGGTGTTGAGCATTTTCTTGGGTTGGAAGAAAATGGTTGAGAACCAGACTGGGAGAAAGATTAAGATTTTGAGATCGGATAATGGTGGTGAATACACATCCGACCCTTTCTTTAAAGTTTGCAAAGAAGAAGGGATTGTAAGACATTTCAGTGTCAAGGGAACTCCATAACAAAATGGAGTTGCAGGAAGATTGAATCGAACCTTGCTTGAAAAGGTTAGATGTATATTGTCTCAGTCGGGTTTGAGCAAGTCATTTTGGGCAGAGACAGTTACTTATGCATGTTACATCATCAACCGGTTACCCTCAGCTGCTATTCAGGGTAAGACACCAATGGAGGTATGGACTGGAAAACCTTCTTCTGATTATGATCATATTCGTATTTTTGGTTCCTGCTTATTTTCATGTAACTGAAAATAAACTTGATCCTAGAGCAAAAAATGCTATCTTTCTTGGTTTTAGTAGTGGTGTCAAGGGTTATAGGTTATGGTGCCCAGAATTGAAGAAACTTGTAATCAGCAGAGATGTGACATTTGATGAAGAAAGTATGTACAAAGACTCTAAGAAGAATGTGAAAGATGTCCAACAGGTGGAGCTTGAGAAAGTTACCTCTGATACTTCAAATCCTATTTCCACTGATGTCGAAGCCACTACAAGTGAAGAAGTTGGAGACCATGAGGATGTTGAAGAAGTTGAACTTGAAGATTCTATTCAAGTTGAAGAGCAAGTTTCACCTCAAGAGTCTATTGCCAAGAACAGAGGAAAGAGACAGATTACCAAACCAGCTCGGTATAGTGACTATGTTGCTTTTGCTCTTCCTATTATCATTGACGATATTCCATCCAATTTCGAGGAAGCCATTGAGAGTGAGGAGAATGAGAGGTGGTGCAATGACATGGGTGATGAGATGAATTCTCTCTTGAAGAACAAAACTTGGGAGTTAGCTAAATTGCCTAAGGGCAAGAAAGCTATTGGTTGTAAATGGGTGTATGCCAAGAAGGAAAATGCTGATGAGAAAAGTAATGTGAGATTCAAAGCAAGATTAGTTGCTAAAGGGTATGCACAAAAGGAGGGCATTGACTACAATGAAATATTTTCTCCGGTTGTGAAGCACTCCTCAATTCGCATTATGTTAGCTCTTGTTGCACAGTATGATCTTGAGCTTGTGCAACTTGATGTGAAGACGGCTTTCCTACATGGTGATTTGAATGAAGAAATTTATATGTGTCAACCGGATGGGTATATAGTGAAAGGGAAGGAGAATTTGTTTTGCAAATTGAAGAAATCACTTTATGGCTTGAAGCAATCTCCAAGGCAATGGTATTTGAGGTTTGATAAATTTATGAGAGGCCAAAATTATTCTAAAAGTCAATATGATCATTGTGTGTACTTCAAGAAGTTGCAAGATGGGTCTTTCATTTATTTGTTGATATATGTTGATGATATGTTGATTGCCTTAAAGAATGTCGAAGAGATTGAGAAATTGAAGAAGCAAATGAAGAATGAGTTTGAGATGAACGATCTTGGTGAAGCGAAAAAGATCCTTGGCATGGAGATCACTAGAGATAGAGCGAAATGTTTGGTTAGTTTGAATCAAAGACAATACCTTGAGAAGTTGATTCGGAAGTTTGGAGTTCATGATTCAACCAAACCGGTTAGTACCCATTTGGCTCCTCATTTTAAATTGAGTTCTCTACAGTGTCCTAAAACTGATAAAAAGAAGCTGCAAATGAAAAATATACCATATGCAAATTTGGTTGGTAGTTTGATGTATGCAATGGTATGCTCTAGACCGGATATTGCTCATGCAGTTGGCATGGTGAGTCGATATATGCATAATTCAGGTAAAGAGCATTGGCAAGCAGCTAAGTGGATATTGAGGTATCTCCATGGTACTCGAGATATTGGTTTATGCTTTGAGAGAGATGACTCTGGTATTGGTCATTTTGCAGTTGGTTATATTGATTCAGATTATGCAGGTGATCTAGATGGAAGGAAGTCTACTACAGGCTATGTGTTTACTATGGCTAAAGGACCAGTTTGTTGGAGGTCCATTTTGCAGTCGTCTGTTGCCTTGTCTACTACAGAGGCTGAATATATGGCAGTTGTTGAAGCTATAAAGGAGGCCATTTGGATACATGGGCTGATTAGAGATTTGGGGGTTAATCAGAAACAGGTGGAGGTACATTGTGATAGTCAGAGTGCCATTTATTTGGCTAAGTATCAGGTTCATCATGCGAGGACCAAGCACATAGATGTGCGTTATTACTTTGTTCGTGAAATTGTTGGTGAAGGGGAAATCATTCTCCAGAAGATTCCAACTAAAGACAACCCCGCTGATATGTTGACTAAGGTTGTTGGTGTAGCCAAGTTTGTTCATTGCTTGAACTTGGCTCATATTTTGCCTATATAAAGAAGGCGTTGAGCAGTAGGAGTTTTGGAGCATTTGGCTCTGCATGAGTTGTTCTCTTGCTAGTGTTTGGGAGTGTTTTTGTGTTGGTTGGCTTATCATGGTGATTTCAGAACTTGGCCAAGGTGGAGATTGTTGGAGTATGTGGCCAAGTGGCCAACTTTTGGCTATAAAAAATTATAAAGAAAAAAGGTGGATAACCACTTCCTTGTTTTGGGGAAAAGAAAATGATGATGTCTCTTTGGGTTTTTTTTTAAGAAAAGAATAAGGGGGTTTCGGTTGGAGCACTAAGTGTGAGAAATAAAGCTCATTTTGTTATAGAGAAGAGAAAGGAGAGAGCTGCTGAGAAAAGGAGTGCAAGCTGCAGAGCATCAGAAAAATAGAAAGGGTGCAGCAACCCTTCGTTGAAGAGAAGAAAAAAGTGCTATTCTTTTTTGTTAGCAATCATCCATCATAATTGTTGTTGTAATAGCTTTGAGCTATATGTATAAAGAAGAAATTATACATTATATTTCTTTCTCTATTTGTTTCTGTGGTGTGTGAGAGCTATTAGGTGTATTGGGTTATTTGGGTTGTGAGATTGCCAACACTTTGTAAACTCCCATTTGGTTGATAGTGGATTATTGGGTGAGCTCTTACTGCTCCGAGGACGTACTCCAGTTACACTGACTGTTGAGGAACCTCGTTAAAATCTTGGTGTCTTTAATATTTTGTTCCTGCATTTCATTTGATAAATTTCCTGTGAGTTAGCTTGAGTTGGTTCCAACGAGTTTGGTGCTGTCCTAACACAACATCATGCACCTTAAACTGGGTCAATTAGAGGCCGTGATTATTTCATCTCCCAAAGCTGCCCGGGAGGTGTTGAAGATTCATGAGCTTGCATTTGCGCAGAGGCCTATTGTTTTGGCGACAGAGGTTTTGTCTTTTGGTCAAGGAGGTATTATCTCTGCTCCTTATGGAGATTTATGGAGATCGCTGAGAAAGGTTTGTATGTTCGAGCTACTGAGCGCGAAACGTGTGCAGTCATTCAGATCCATAAGAGAAGAAGAGGCACAGAATCTTGTTGAGTCCATTGGCTCAATGTCTCACAAGGGACTTGCCATCAATTTTAGTGACAGGTGCTGCAGCTTTGCAAATGACGTGGTGTCAAAGGCAGCATTTGGGAAAAAAATGCAAAGACCAAAAGGAGTTCCTTTCGCTACTAGACGAAGTAAACAAACTTACTAGTGGGTTTGATATTCCTGATTTGTTTCCTTCACTCAGTTTTCTTGGGTTCGTTACTGGGTCGATCCCTGCTTTGAAAGACATACAAAGTAAGCTCGGTAAGATTCTCGAAAATATCATCAACGATCATAAGACCAAAAGATCCAAAAAGGACTTGATGATCAGTAGTACTAGTACTACTACAGCAGGCAATGACAAAGTGGAGGAGGGGGAGGAGGAAAATTTTGTTGACGTACTTCTAAAACTTAAAGAGTCCAGTAAGGCAGAGTTCAACTTCACTACCAATCAGATCAAAGATATCATTCTGGTGAGTAATGCAGGCTTGCTTTGTTGTACTGTAGACATTTCATCTTCGTCGTCATTCATCACTTAATAGAAATATAAGAAGGGGTTTTATCACAAATGGTTGCTTTGAAAATCAATTATTGTCATGCTGCACATTTTGCCCCACACACCAATGTTGTCCTTACGGTCTAACTCAGTCAAAACAAATTTGTTTATGTGCAGGACATCTTCGCTGCAGCAAGCGAGACTTCAGCTACTACCATAGAATGGGCAATGTCAGAGTTGATGAAAAACCCAAGAATCATGAAGAGGGCTCAAGCTGAAGTGAGACAGTCAGTTGTCCAATTTGAAGGAAAGAAAGGCAAAGTTATTGAAGAAAGAGATGTTAAAAAGTTGGACTACTTGAAATTGGTGGTGAAAGAAACTCTGAGGTTACACTCTCCACTCGCTTTGCTCCCAAGAGAAGCAAGGGACACGGTTCAAGTTGGCGGATTCAAATTACCAGTTAAATCAAAAGTAATTATTAATTTATGGGCAATGGGAAGAGACCTAGATATATGGGGGGCAGATGCTGAGTGTTTTAAGCCAGAGAGGTTTCATGGCTCTTCTGTTGACTTTAAGGGTTTTGACTTTGAGTTCATTCCATTTGGTGCTGGCAGAAGAATATGTCCAGGCATGTCATTTGGTGTTACCGTGATTGAACTTGCTCTCGCTGAATTGCTTTACCACTTCGATTGGAAACTGGCGAATGGGATGAATCCAGATGAACTTGACATGACAGAGAGTTTAGGACTGACCTGCAAGAGAAAGAATGCTTTGTACCTAACTGCCACCCCACATTTTACTTCACTCGGTGAGTCACAATGACTCATCGTTTTGTTGCCATGAATGGCCAACAAACTATGCAGTGCATCATCTCACTTGTGGTGAACGATATGGTTTATATGTCCAATGAAAGACAAATCCGTAGACCTTTTTTGTTATCAGCTTCACCCAACCCTTTTTGGTTTCACCAAGTGAGTCTTGGCCGGACAACCACATGTGCGGCTACCGGACCAAAACGCTCTGGTGGATGTGGGCTTATAGCTCAAGCCCAATGGACTAAGTATAAACGGCCTAAATAAAAAATTAGAACGCACTCTGCAGAGATACCCAATCAGCAGCCTCCAGGATAAGGTTTTCACTATATTCTCCTTTCCTCTTCTTTCTTCGTCCAAAGCTATAAGCTTTGGCTGTCCACAAATTCACACTCTCCTGTTTATGAAAGCTTAATAATTTCTCAGAAATGGCGGTTGCGTCCATGAGTTTCAACGTAGTCGGAGCTTTCAGGGGTCTGTCTCTTCGCCCAACCTCCACCTCCAGCTCGTCGTCCTCCTCCTTCTTCAGAGGTGATTTGGGTTCTCTGCAACTGGGTCCCAAGCTATCGTTAGTGTCGTTGGGCCCGCAGAGACTTCCATTGACGATTCAAAACGCGCACAAGAAAGGAGCTGGGAGTACCAAGAACGGACGTGATTCCAAAGGCCAGAGGCTCTGCGTCAAGATTTACGACGACCAGGTCGCCAAGGCTGGCTCCATCATTGTCCGCCAGCGTGGCACCAAGGTAACTTCAATTTCTCCCATTTTTCTGATAAAATTGGTTATCATTTTTTTTTTTGGTGGCATGGTAGGATTAGGAATAATTAAAGGGAAAAAGTTCTCGGGAAAAAGTTCTCGGGAAAAAATAGTACTATTTATTTTATCTTTTATTTTATCATTTTCGTTAAAACTTAAAGTTTTGAAACCGTTTTCATTAGTTTTCTATAATTAAAACCAATTTGAGAAGGAAATGAACTGTGTCGAACTTGAATTTGGGTACTTGAAGCTAGGGATTGGCAATGGGTCATGTTCGGGTTTACTTATTTATATGTGCGTCGTGTTCATTTCGTTTAGATGGATGTTTGTTTCCGCCAAAAGAAAATCAATAAACAAAAATAAATACGACTGTATAGAGAGAGAAAAATGAACGTGCGGAAATCATTTCTCTGGATTAATGTTTCATTTTGGCACATGTAGAAATGTAGAATATTGTTGTGACTTCTGGGTTTGTTTTGGCATCGAATTATCAGTTCCATGCAGGGAAGAATGTGGGGCTCGGCAAGGACCACACCATATTCTCTCTGATTTAAGAAGTTTGGACCCGACAAGAAGAAGGTATGATCTGGAGTTCCGAAACCCGTCATGGTTCGTGGTTTAATTGTCTGCGTGTTGTATGCTAACACGAATCGTTGATTTGTATTGTCCGCAGATTAGTGTTTACCCTCGAGAAGTCCAGCCGGAGAACCCCAACAGCTACCGGGTTAAAAAGAGGGAGAACTTCAGGCTACATCGTGAACGTAAGAAAGCGAGAAAGGAGGGCTACATCATTCAAAACAAACCCGAGCTACTACTTGCTTCTGCTAATGCTGCAGATAGGGCTGGGCACGGGCCGGGGCGGGCCGGGCCGAACCTAAGTTTGTAGGAACTGGAGCTTAAACGAAACGGGTCGGGACGGGGCGGGGATTGGATTTTCTAGTATAAGAACCGCACATTACCCGGCCCGGTTGAAACGGGCCGATTCGGGCCGGGTCCACGGGTACCCTTTTTTTTTTTTTTTTTTTTAACAGCACAGATTGCAAACTGCTCAGATTGCAATTTGCAACTGCACAATCACAGTGACACTGCATTTGTGCAGATTTTGCACAAATTCACCATATGGGTATCTCACTAACAGTTTACTTTACCTGCACTTCACTATGAATTATATTTCTCTCCCGAAAAGACTTTAATTTTGAAAAACCGAAAAACCAACCCATGTGGTTTTCTCACAACTTAGAGGAAACGGAAAGGGCAAAGAAATACAAAGCAATTGGTTTCTTGCCATAAATATGATAACAATAAGATTTCCAGTTGTATGCTTTGCTCCCTAAATTAAAATTTTGCAATTTAATCCACTAGAGAAATTTCAGAAAAGGAATTTAACTTGCGAGCTCCAGAAATTTTAAATATTTTCCTTGATTTTCTCGGGAAACAAACAAACCGCGAAACTACAAAATCGAAAAATTGATTACCGGAGGAAGAATCCGAGGCCGTGAGTCCCGTGTTCCGATCCGAACGTGTCGAAGGTGTGATGGAAATCGCAGAGAAGTCAAGGAGGACAGCTTTGAACAAGAAGAAGAGGATGATGCCGCCGCCGCAACTATGTGAGCCCTACGGTCAGAGCTGAGACAAGGAATCGCGGACGCCGTCACGGAAATCGCCATTGGATTGGGCACTCCAGTCAGTGAGATTTCGTCTGACGGATTCTTCTTCTTAGCTCAATCGATCTACAAATTCTACAAATTCTAACTTAAAACCCCTAAAAATCCCTACACAAGAAATTCACATTAATAGTAAAACCTAATTCAAAAATACCTAAATTTTAGAGGGATGATGGTTGGTACTTGCCTTGGTACTGGTAGTAGTAGTGTCCTCGACGGTGGTGATGGGGTGATGATGGTGGTTGCGACGGCGGAGGTGGTGATGGGGGGTGATGATGTAGAACCTTAACCGTTAAGTAGAAATCCTGTGATTCCCTTGATTTATGACTACAAGCATTCCCACGCAATCATACACGATGATCAAACACTCGGAAATTGGAACAATACGCACGTAAATCTGTATAAAACCAATCACATTCGACTCGCAGAATCCAGTCATTCAAGTCATAAAACAGATGGAACACCGGTGCCAGTGTGCAACTTTCTCAAGCAATGAATTGCCTTAATGTACAAAATTAGATTGACTCGGTGTTTTGTTGCCATGAACGGCCAACAAACCAACTCCATTCTGGTTAATTAGGTATCAATTGTTCATTCACTAGTGTATTCCCTCTTTTACAGGCTAAAACACGTTTTCAGTCCCATCAGTCTTCGCAATGTCCCACTTTCGTTCCCATATTTTCGAGTGCAATGATTTTCATCCTTTCATGCCTGCAGTTTGCAGATTGTTTAAATCTAAGGCTTTAGCGCGCTCTTCCGGTCTTTTCATTTAGTACTTGCGTAATAAGGCATGATTAATGTATAATATGTATCCCTAAGATGTAGCATGATTAATGTATAATATATATTCCTAAGATGTAAACTTGTTATTCAGATCAATAATATATGTACTCGTGTGTGTTCTTTTGGTGAATGCTACTTAGTACGTTGATAATACGTACTAATCCTTTATTAATCATAAAAAGAATGATTACAACGTAATACTTCCCTGATTGAAGAATAAATTCTCTTTAGCGCATCGTCAAGAGCGTGCTGATAACGTGTTATAAACATAATTTACTGAACAATTATGGAGGCCAGAGAGAGAGAGAGAGGTACGGCATAGATAGAGAGAAAGAGAGAGATGTGTAATTGTGGGTGTGTGTTTAAACTTCTTTCATTAATTACTACATATTTTCTACACTCATAATGTTTGCCAGCTCGCTATATAATCAACTTAAATTAGTTAAATCCATCATGCAATGCATTTCTTTCCAATTTTTTGTGATAAACTAATAGATAATTGACTAAATAAACATCCTATAAAGTTTCAATAAAAATTTCCAAGTTTTTCTTACAATTTCCGTGGTTTTTATTCAATTTTTATCGATATCGATAATATCCTGATATTTCCATTGAAATTTCCGTGTTTTTAGACTACCGATATTTCCGATATCATCGATATTTTATACCTTGGTTCTAATCATGTAGAATTTCTGATTTTAAATGGTAATATATTTCATATTTCATCTATATTTTGTACATGAGGCAGGCCAAAGTATATATGCAAGAGGTGACCCGGCAAGAACCTGGCAAACTTAACTAGTATTTAAGTCGACAAGACCTTAATCACTTTCAACATATCAATCCAAAAGATTTTGTTTATTAGTTGTTGAGGAGGATCCATAAGTTGAGAAGACCTTAAGCACTTCAACATATCAATCCAAATTGAAGTGCTTTGATTTGCAAAGCAAAAATACCACAAAGTCGTATGATGAAATTGATCACAGCTTATCTGGATCAAATTATGTTTCTAATTGACGAAACGCCCTATTTTCCATTTTTCACTTCTCTCCTTGTCTGCATCCTGGTGATTTTTTGGAAGCGATCCAGAGCCGGAGGCCTAAAGTCACCCCCCGGGCCATGGAAGCTGCCCGTTATTGGAAACTTGCACCAGATGGTTGGTCCGTTGCCACACCACACACTGGGAGACTTAGCCAAGAAGCACGGACCCGTCATGTACCTTAAACTGGGTCAATTAGACGCCGTGATTATTTCATCTGCCAAAGCTGCCCAGGAGGTGTTGAAAACACATGAGCTTACATTTGCGCAGAGACCTATGGTTTTGGCAGCAGAGGTTATGTCTTTTGGTCAAGCAAGCATTTTCTTTGCTCGTTATGGAGATTTATGGAGATCGCTGAGAAAGATTTGTATGTTCGAGCTTCTGAGCGCCAAACGTGTGCAGTCTTTCGGATCCGTAAGAGAAGAAGGGGTATGCAATCTTGTTGAGACCATTGGCTCAATGTCTCACAAGGGACTTGCCATCAATTTTAGGGACAGGTGCTGCAGCTTCACAAACGTCATAGTGTCAAAGGCAGCATTTGGGAAAAAATGCAAAGACCAAAAGGAGTTCCTTTCGCTTCTTGACGAAGTAATCAAACTTGGTAGTGGGTTTGATATTCCTGATTTGTTTCCTTCACTCAGTTTTCTTGGGTTCATTACTGGGTCGATCCCTGCTCTCAATGACATAAAAAGAAAGATCGGTATGATTCTCGAAAATATCATCAACGATCATAAAATCAAAAAATCCAAAAAGGACTTGATGATCAGTGGTACTAGTAGCACTACAGCAGGCAAGGACAAAGCAGAGGAGGAGGAAGAAGATTTTGTTGACGTACTTCTAAAACTTAAAGAATCCAACAAGGTGGAGTATAATTTCACAACCAATCAGATCAAAGATATCATTATGGTGAGTAATATAGGCTTGCTTTGTTGTACTGCAGACATTTTATCTTCGTCATTACTCGTCACTTTATAAAAATAAATGAAGGGGTTTCATCACAGATGGTTGCTTATGTTTTCGAAACTCATGATTTAGGTCCTGCACATTGAAACTCAATTACTGTCATGCTGCACATTTTGCCCCACACATCAATGTCATCCTTACGGTCTAACTCAGTAAAAAAAAATTGTTATGTGCAGGACATCTTCTCTGCAGGAAGCGAGACTTCAGCTACTACCTTAGAATGGGCAATGTCGGAGTTGATGAGAAACCCAAGAATCATGAAGAGGGCTCAAGCTGAAGTGAGACAGTCGGTCCTCCAATTCGAAGGGAAAAAAAAGAAAAGTTATTGAAGAAAGAGATGTTCAAAAAATGGACTACTTGAAATCGGTGGTGAAAGAAACTCTGAGGTTACACGCCCCAGGCCCTTTGCTCCCAAGAGAAGCAAGGGACACGGTTCAAATTGGCGGATTCAAAGTACCAGTTAAATCAAAACTAATTATTAATGTATGGGCAATAGGAAGAGACCCGGAGATATGGGGGGCAGATGCTGAGTGTTTTAAGCCAGAGAGGTTTCATGGCTCTTCTGTTGACTTTAAGGGTTTTGACTTTGAGTTCACTCCGTTTGGGGCCGGCAGAAGAATATGTCCAGGCATGTCATTTGGTGTTAACATGATTGAACTTGCTCTTGCTGAATTGCTCTACCGCTTCGATTGGAAACTGGCAAATGGGATGAATCCAGACGAACTTGACATGAGAGAGAGCTTTGGACTGAGCTGTAGGAAAAAGAATGCTTTGTACGTAATCGCCACCCACATTTTACTTCACTCGGTGAGTTAGATTGATTCGGCGTTTTGTTGCCATGAACGGCCAACAAACCAGCTCCCATTCTGGTTTGTCAGGTATCAATTGTCCATTCACTTGTGTATTCCCTCTTTTACAGGCTAAAACACGTTTTCAGTCCCATCAGTCTTCGCAATGTCCCACTTTCGTTCCCATATTTTCGAGTGCAATGATTTTCATCCCTGGAGTTTGCAGATTGTTTGAATCTAAGGCTTTAGCGCGCTCTTCCGGTCTTTTCATTTAGTACTTGCGTAACAAGGCATGATTAATGTATAATATGTATCCCTAAGATGTAGCATGATTAATGTATAATATGTATCCCTAAGATGTAAACTTGTTATTCATATCAATAATATATGTACTTGTGTGTGTTCTTTTGGTGAACGCTACTTAGTACGTTGATAATACGTACTAATTGTTGAAAAGTAAATTGCTTACTAATTTCTTGTTAGTAAATGATTTACTTACTCAATTTATCTTTATCCTATTGTATGACTGTTTTCTGTTGTGATCTTGTGCTTATATGCCAAGTGTAGAATCTTAGATCAGTTTTCACCTTTTCAATGGCTCACATGCCTTGTAATTGCCATGTGTCATAATCACAACGGCTCATGTATTTGAATGGCTGTGATGACTGATGTAAGAGGATGATATATATGAATGAAATGCATCACTCTGTTATAGCAGGGATGTTGCAGTGATTATTCCAATTTTCCTTACTCTAGTTTTTCACTCTCTCTCTCTACATTTCTCTTGCTCCCTTCGTAATCCAAGAAGATCCAAATGAGAGACTAAAAAGACACGCCAAGGGTAGACGAACACTGGAAGGAACACTCAGAAGCAAGTTTTGTCCTCGTCGCCCCAGAAGATTCTACATAAGAGCAACATGTACCGGCAGTTGAGCACTACTTCCTGCTGCGCATCACACGGCCCTAGCCGACCCTTGCTCCATTATTCAGCTCTAGAGTGGCCCAATACCGGAAGTTGAGCATCTTCTACTACATGTAACATGGCCCCAGCCCCACGACTCCCTACCACACATTCACGCCTAACCTTGACAACGTAACAGAGCGGCCCAACAACGCCCCGAAATCAGCCAAGCACACTTTAGCCGCCCTTGCTCCCTCAATGGAGATTTCTGGCATTTGTATGTCGACGGCGCATCCAACTACAAAGGCTCGCGAGCAACCGTGGTTCTTGTCACCCCAGACGACTCAATGCTCTAGCAGGCGATCACTTTAAGCTTCAAATCATCTAACAACGAAGCATAGTACGAGGCCCTACTAACAAGCCTCCGAATGGCAAAAGACTTGGTAGTGAAGAAGCTCATAATTCATTCTGATTCCCAGCTAATCACCAGCCAGACTACTGGGGAGTATACGGCAAAACATCCGATGATGGCGCAATACCTAGAGAAAGTACGCAAGCAGCTTGAGGCATTTCAGACTTACACTCTCACTCAAGTTCCTCGGGCGAACAACGCCTATGCAGATGTACTAGCCGGCCTAGGCTCCACCCTCGATCACCAACTCAAAATGCTCTATTCCGGTGGAATATCTTGACAAGCCAAGCATAGAGAAGGAGCCAGTAGCCTAAGTGTCACAGCATTCTCATCTAAAGATCCCACACTGGACCACATATTCGCTGCCTAGTGCCTCCCGACGACTTGAAAGTTCTAAGCTCAATCCACAAAGGTGTTTGTGAAAACCACTTCAAAGGCCGATTCTTAGCATAAAAAACTCTTACCACAAGCTATTATTGGCCTATCATGCACCAAGATACTAAGGAGTTAGTACAAAAGTGCAACCGCTACCAACGCTACAAGCCGATACCAGCACTGCTTACAGCGAGCTACACCCGCAGATGAGTCTTTGGCTGTTTATCCAGTGGGCAATCGACTTGGTAAGACCTACACTGCCTGCTACTGGGGGCAGAGGCATGATAATCGTGGCAACCAACTATTTCACCAAATAGGTAGAAGCAGAACCCATGATGATTAAGATTCAAACGGACATAGAGCGCTTCATATGAAGGAACATCATTTGCCTATTTGGCATCCCTCAGTCCATCGTCACCCACAACAGCCCGTAATTCATGGGCAGAGATTTGGAGAAGTTCTTCCAAGAATATGGCATCAAGCAGCATATGTCCATGCCGAGATATCCTCAAAGCAATGGGCAGGTCGAGGCATCCAACAAAATGATCCTCGACTGCCTCAAGAAATCCTTCACCAACAAGAAGGAAAAATGGCCAGACGAACTCCCCGGATGTCTATGGGTATATCGCACCACCAAAAGACGAGCAACCGGTGAAACTCATTTCTCTTTGGCATTTAGTTCGGAAGCAATCATTCATCCTAATGTCATCAAGCCAAGTATCACCGCTCTACTACCAAGCATTGAGCGAACAGTAAAGAGATGGTCACAAGCTTAGATTTGGCAGAGGAGAAGCGTAAGCAGACCAGCACCCGTATTGCAGCCTACCAGCAGCAGCTCCTCTCCAGCTACAACAAAAGGGCTAAGATCTAGCAGTTCTAGCCCGAAGATCTAGTCCTAAGAAAAGCCTTCATCACTGCCCGAGGAGAAGGCTCCAAAAATATGGATCCCATCTGGGAAGGTCCGTACAAGATCAACAGAGTAGGCAGCAAGAGTAATTACACCCTCGCCACCATAAAACAACAAAAAGATTTAAAATCAGTGGAACGCCTACAATCTGAGGAAGTACCATGTGTGACCTCCCGCTACATCAAAGCCCGAAGACTCAAGCAACTCGACGGGCACCACCTCGCAAGCCGAGAACTATCCAGTTGTTATGCAGTTCCTACCTTACATCTAAGTTTTCATTCGTTTCACTCGTTTTTCAATGAGGAATTCAAAAGTAATCACAACTTGGCTCGGCTGCATGCTTACAACAACTTATCACTCCTGCACTTCAAAAGAATATCGCGCCCTTCTTAGGGACTCATCGCAGGAATTGCACCCTCCGAGGGACCAATTATGCTCTCTAGTGCGAGAAGGTAAACTAATTCCTCGACACCCACATGGGTCAGCTCTCTAAGACGGGATGATAAATTATACACTCCTAATATCCAGACGTGGATGAGTCTGGCTGCCCTAGTATAACTAGATGCATAATGGCTTGCGCCGGGATTCCTAGAAGTAGCCACAATAGTCTTTTTCAAGGCTTAGCTAACTGAAGGATTTTGGGTCTTTTGGCCTAATCCGTGGGGAACCGGGCCCTAGAGACGGAGGGGGCACATTACGCGGTACATCTAATGGACGGTTGCCTGGAACCCTAAAACTGCTTCCGAGTGCACTAATGTAGCCTACGGTTTCCAAAAGACTGCCTACGGCTTACCCTTCAAGCAGAAAAGCCATGCTAGACTTATACAACCACACATTATTGTGAAAGGTTAAACAAGCTAGCGTGCATGTATGAAGCATTATCCACTGCCGACATGTTACGTAGTCGATAAGCTTCATATCTGCCAAGCGTGGAACAACCTACACCAAGTCCTAAAGTGTTGTGATACTTGCTACGCAACCTATGGAATTGGAGAAAGCTAAGGTTAACAGCCTAGTGGTTACGCGGGTTTGTCTACTTCTGTAAGTAAGGCATCCAGCTGCCAACCCTATGGTTAACAACTTTGCAAAGTTCTACACCAACATCTACGAACCAACATCTACGATTGTATAAGTTACGCGAGCTTGTCTGCTTATAAAAAAATGGCGTGCCTGTCATTAGTTTATCAAGTCTAAAGGTTAGGGCATGAACAAAAGAAGCGAAGATGAAGAAAAACGAATGAAGCATGTTTATAAACAATTAGTAAAGGCCGAAGGAGTTCAAGCAAAATAAGAGCTACAAGGAAAAACAAAGAAAATCCTAAAGGCTACCTAGAATACTACACTTCAGTAACTTGGACATCCCACGACTATTCGGTCGCCATGACGCTCTTAGCAGCGGCACCATCCAGCGCTTCACCCCGGCTGCCCCAGCCTGGGCACCAACTTCTCCAAACTACTTCACCAATGGAAGCCTCAAAAGTAAAAGCAAACAAGTCTTCCAAAGAAATAGATAAGGTCTCGAAACCTCAAGCCCATTTTTCTCACCCTTCAGCTACTCATTCTCCTCGAGCAGACCAACACGGAAGCGTTGTAGCTCATCCATTTCCTTCTTTAGACTTTCATTGATCTTCAGTACACCTTGAAGTTCCAATACTTGGGGTTCAAGCCTATCGACGATTCTCTTGAAGTGGATCACTTGATTGTAAGCAACAATCAACTCTTCATCCTTTGCATAAGCAGCGAAACGAAGCTCAGAAACTGCAAACTCAAGATCTGGAATCTGAGGTATGTAACATCCAATCTCCTTCTATACACTTTCATACTTAACTTGGATCGCGTCAAGCCTAGTTTTCAAGTTAATGATCTCTTGGCGAGCGGTCTCAAGCTACAGATAAGTGGGGGCAGAAATATTAGACCCCTTCAAAGCAATGAGCTCAGAATCCAATCTCTTGATCTCCTCAGCCGAGGAATAAGCTTCAGCTGCCATAGTCTTCGCAACCTCATTGGCAGCCTTGCTACATCTGCATCATAGCAAGCAAAGCAGTTATTCTATATTGGGTCGTATGCTTCGTAAAGGAACTTAGGCAAACAACCTTTCTAACGCTATCAACAAACTTGGCACAAGCGCCCATGTCTTCAAGCAGATCTGGTTTTAAAAGCATATGGATCTCAACAGCCTCCCCAGAAGCAGGCTTAGTGGATTTCTCACAGCTGCCCATGCGAGCAGTTTCCTCTTTCCCAGCAGGCAAGTCAGTATCAGCAGCAAAGGGAGTGGGCCTTAGCGCCACTTTAGCAGCAGAGTCCACCTTATCGTTCTTTATAATAGCAAGCCTCTCCAAATGTGAACCAGACTTAGCTCTCAACGGACGTCTTGGTACAGACTTCGGCACTGGGGGCACGATAGGACCTCTATGTTGAGCAATCCTATCAGCA